ATGATCGATTTAATTTCGTGTTTGCGAATCCGGTGATGTCCAAGTATATTTATGAATATCCTTATGTTTAAACTTCGTACTTTTAATTATCAGGTTTTTCGAGATGGCAAAGTTTATCAGACGGATCCCATTATCATTACTATATTCGTGTAAACATTCTTTTCGAATCGTCAGAATATAAACTTCTTCCCTTCCTACCTTTGCGTTCGCGTCACCTATTATTATTTTCATGTAGTTTCGCGGTAGTTTATCATAAACCCATTCGAGTTTATCGTAAAATTCACTTTTGACTTCATCGTCACTGTCTTCGTTTGGACAATGTATGTTTATTAATGCGATTTTACACCAACGTCCCTGAAATATAGCTACCGAAATTCTATCACTAAAGAATTGTATTTCCCTCAAAGCGGATAGTAATCTAGTCCTAATTAGAAACCCGGTACCTAAACAATGATTCCCGCTTCCTCCGTACCAAATAGTGTACTTTCCTTCCCTCATCGAGCCCTCTCCTGGCCAGCGAACCTCTTGCAGAGCCACGACATCCAAATTGTACCCATTTGCCTCATTCGCGACCGATTTTAGCTGTGTTTAAACTCCTTACGTTCCACGTACCAATACTTAAATCCCTATATTTCAACTTGCACCATGAATCCCCTAAAGCAGTCCCCACCCGGAGAACCGAACGGGGGTCTAGTTTACCTCCGGATAAAGAGCGTTTTACCTTAGGGAGATCCATGACTATCTGTGGTGTTTGGTGAACTAAAGATATGTAAGTAGGGCTTCCAATCCTACGTCACACCCTCCAGCAAGTCTGGAGGTCCCCTACCTCCAGCAAGTTTGTAGGTCCCCTCCCTCCAGCAAGTCTGGAGGGCCCCTTTCATTGTTAGTCAACGAGTCCATCGGACTTAGCCGGGAGGAACTTCCAAGGAATTTCCACCGACCATTTTACCCACATCCGCCATCCGTGGGACGCTCCCCATACGCGGTAATGAGCCCGCGCGAGGTATAAACATATCCATAAAATATTTTTATATTTCACTTCTTCTTTCACACAAGTACAATAGTATTTTAAACAATGGCATTAGCTTGATTAGGTAGATTTTAAATACTTTTTTTCGAACTTCGAAAAACATTTAAAAGTTTACATTTAGTAATCAAATTGCATTTAATTTCCTTGGAAACATGTGATTTACGCTAAATAATGTTAATTTCCTGAAATTATTATTTATATTTTTTTCGTCAATCTCCGTTACCTTCTACAACTTTATTTATTTGATATTATTTTTTTCTAAAAATCTCCGCTTTTCAACGATATATTATAGGTATACCATCTGACTGTTGTTTCTGGAGATTCATTTCAACCTGGATCAGTATTTTTCTTTTTTTCTCCAGTTTCCAATTATGAGGACGACTAATGGTTATAAAAGTCACAATTTTGTAGGATTATTTTTATTTTTTCAAGTGAATTACTTATTAATTCATTTTGATTTTTATATACCAATTGTATAGATATAAAATATAAATATAGATAAAATAATCGTAAATACATGAAGGTATATAAAGAGGATATTTTTCATATTTCAAAATTTTTATTGCACGTTTTTTATCATTTATAAATTTTTTCAGATTTTTATTTGAAGGAAATCCGCGCTCTAATAATAACTTATGTAAAACACTTTTACTCCTATCTTGAAAAATCTAACCTCCACTGTTATACCTTACTGATTTGACTAATCTGAGTCAATCAATAAATAAACTTAAAAAGCTTGAAAGGTTAAATAAAACAAAGTTTAAGTCCACGTGTCTTCGAACATCACACACTTTTATTATAACACAAGTAAACATTGAATACACATAAAACAGGGAAGGTGTTTCTATGTTTGCAAAAATCTTAGACATAAAGAACTTAGAGCTAATATTTTTACTACGTCATAACACTTCTCCCTCCTACAAAAAAACTAAAACACCACTTATGTACGGGACCTCTGCCAGGTACCGTGATATGTATTAGTCGAGGCGAAAACGGAGAGGCTTTCTTCTTTCCCGCTGAGGCCTACTGGGGGTATTGCTGCCTCTTGTTTGTCCTGATGGTAGAAGACTGGGCCGCTGAACTGGCAATGTGGTATCCGGTGGAGAGGGAAGGCTCTCATGTGCATTATGAGGAGAAGGAGGGCTCTCATGTGTATTATGAGGGGATGGTGGGCTGTCATGTATACTTTGAGGAGTTCTCATAGGCGTGGTAGCTGATGGAGAGCCTGCAGATGATGGACTCCTAGGATTCTGAAGACTGTTTTCCTTGTCTGAGAATGACGTATTATAGTCTGTGTTGACAGGTCCACTCAGGTTGTTCTCTTTTGATTCTACTCTTGGCCACAATTGATTTATGTGTCGCTTCCACAATAAACCCTCTTCAATTTTTATTAAGTAGGTTTGGAATCCCAGCTGGTCTTGAACTATTCCTTTCTCCCATTTTTCTGAACCAGCTCGAAAATCACGAGCCCATACTAAATCCCATGGTTTGAAAATTACTTGCCGATTGCCGCCATGTTTGCACATATGTTGTTGATAATCTTGCACGTTTTCTTCTGAGGACGGTAACAGAAGGTCAAAAAGGGTGCACGTTTTCTTCTTGAGTAGTATTGTAGCTGGTGCTTCACCTGTAGCACTATGTTCCGTATTTCTATATTGCAATAGAAATTCATTTAGAGCCCTGGATAATTTTCTTGGTGCTGGATCAGCCAAATTTTTTAATAGACATTTCTTCACTATTTTTACAGATGCTTCGGCACTTCCATTTGTCTGGGGATGGAATGGTGCTCCAACGAGATGCTGAATTCCACATTTTTGCAAAAATATTGAAAACTCTTCACTTGTAAAGCAAGCAGCTCCATCTGTCGTAACTGCTCTAGGCAACCCGAAACGACTAAATACCTCTGTTAACTTGTCAATAGCTATGGAAGCTGTCATGTTTGGAACCAAAAATGCTTCGATCCATTTGGATGTTGAGTCTGTGATGACTATTGCATTTATATTTCTTTTTATGGGACCCAGGAAATCCACATGAATACGTGTCCAGGGTTTGCGTGGCCAGGGCCAAGGCTGAAGAATTGCTTTTGGTGGATTGTCACGAAATTTGCAACATATATCGCAGGAATTGGCTACTTGTTCAATTTCTTGGTCTAAAGAAGGCCACCAAATGTAACCTCTCGCAAAGCTTTTCATTTTTGTGGCTCCCAGATGATTACTGTGGAGTTGTTTCAAAATTGCAGGTCGAAACTGTTCAGGTATAACCACTCGATACCCCCACATAAGACATCCATGATCCACCGTAAGCTGGTGTAAGCGACGTGAGTAAGGGAGGTAACAATTATCTTTTGGGAGGTGCTTCCCCTGCATTACCGCTGCAACAACCTTGGACAAAGTTAGGTCTGTTCGAGTTTCTCTTTTTATGTCACGCCAATCTCCCTTTAGTGGCCAATTTTTATGGGAAAAAATAAGGTATGTTAATTTACTTTCACTATCCATTTCATGCTTTGAATCTGGTAATTTGATCCGAGATAAATAATCTGCAATATTTTGATGAGTGCGTACACATTTCATAGTGAAATTGTAATTAGACAAAAGGTAAGCCCAGAGCTGGAGCCGATTTGCGGCATATATAGGTACACCCTTCTTTTCGCCAAATATGTTCAGAAGAGGACGACTGTCTGTAATTAATGTAAATTTACGGGCAAACAGAAAATCTCTAAAATGGCTTATCCCAAATACAATTGCCCATGCCTCCCGCTCAATAGATGGGTATTTTTGCTGAGCTGGACTCAATACTTTGGAGGCATATGCTATTGGATGCGCAGAACCATCAGAAAAAATATGAGATAGGACACACCCAACTGCTTTTGCTGAGGCATCTACTGTTAATTGAATCGGTAAATTTGGATTGAAATGTGTCAATACAGGTTTACTTGTAAGAATATTTTTAACTTTCTGGAATGATTTTTGGCATTCCTTGGTCCACAAATATTTTGAATTTGTTTTGAGCAAATCGTACAAGGGTTTTAAAATCTCAGAAGCCTTGGGGATGAATTTAACATGAAAAGTTACTAGACCCAAAAATGATTTCAATGCATGAACATCTTTCGGAATCGGTGCATCTTTGACCGCTTTTATGTGTGAATCCATTGGGTGAATTCTATTTTTATCGAAAAGGTGTCCCAAATATTCGATATATGGTTGTCCAAATGAACATTTTTCCTTTTTTACTCTTAAATTTGATTCACTTAAAATTGTCAACACTTGACTAATGAGATAAATGACTAATGTGAATCAATCAATAAATAAACTTAAAAAGCTTGAAAGGTTAAATAAAACAAAGTTTAAGTCCACGTGTCTTCGAACATCACACACTTTTATTATAACACAAGTAAACATTGAATACACATAAAACAGGGAAGGTGTTTCTATGTTTGCAAAAATCTTAGACATAAAGAACTTAGAGCTAATATTTTTACTACGTCATAACACTTCTCCCTCCTACAAAAAAACTAAAACACCACTTATGTACGGGACCTCTGCCATGTACCGTGATATGTATTAGTCGAGGCGAAAACGGAGAGGCTTTCTTCTTTCCCGCTGAGGCCTACCTTAATGGACCTCATAGTGAATATGAGTGAATTACTTATTAATTCATTTTGATTTTGATATACCAATTGTATAGATATAAAATATAAATATAGATAAAATATCCGTAAATACATGAAGGTATATAAAGAGGATATTTTTCATATTTCAAAATTTTTATTGCTCGTTTTTTAACATTTATAAATTTTTTTCAGATTTTTATTTGAAGGAAATCCGCGCTCTAATAATAACATATGTAAAACACTTTTATTCCTATCTTGAAAAATCTAACCTCCACTACACACATCAAACAAACATTGCACAACACACAAAAATAAATCTTGAATCTATTTCATCACAAAACAAAAAACGAAGATTCAACAATGGCTTTCGATTTAAGTAAAAATGAAGATTTTCAGAGATTATTCCTTTTAGAGCTACTTGTGGATAGTGTCAAGTTCGATTATAAAAAAATTGATTTGCCTAAAACTACATTCGACTTATTGAAGCAAACATGCGTTCGGTTTAATTTTTTAGACTTTCCTGTGATAGAAGTTTGTGAAGAGGATTTTTGCCAAACACAAGGCGACTATAATACGGCTAGAGACATTGTTTTCAGAAATGGGAAATCTTGTTTTTTTTCCTTACGTGGTTTGCCTAAAAAAACACAATGTCTCCAGTTAGGGGCGACAATAGTTCGTCAGAAGGACGAGCCTCCACCGATTATAATGGGAACAACTTGCATTACTTTAGATAAAGGCTTTGTGGATGTGTTGAATGACGTGAGCCACAATACTGAAACTGGCGAGGCCTCCAATTCATTAAAAGACGTGTTTCCAATTATTGACTCTAAGGGAATAAAGATAGGATCTTTGACATTGCTTATTCGTCTTTCTTGCTTTGGCAAAGCAATTATCACCCACTTCAAGATTCCTCAAGAAAAGGAGGCAGGATACATGTTTGCAAATACGAACGAACCGGAACTACAAATGAATCCAGCTGCAAATCAAATGAGAACTCCGATTTCTCTTGGATACCCTGTTAAAAATAATCAAGTAAGTAAACCAGACAATAATGTTTTCTATTCAGGAACAAACAGTGAAGCACCACCGGGAACTGGCATTCCAGAAACGGTCTTAGGGAGCACTCCTATGGGTGAATCATACGACACAGCTAAAACTTCTCCTATGATTTACAGAGGATTTCCAAATCCTACTCCAGGTGCTCAAAGTACGTCGCCTGGAGATGCATACTCTGCGACTGTTCCAGGTAATTTTCCTCAGGCAACACAAAACAATTTCCACGGCGCTGCTCCAGGTACTTTTCCAGGAATTTCACCAGGTACGTACCCAGGCGCCCCACAAGGCACTTTTTCAGAGGCTGCACCAGGTACGTACCCAGGCGCCCCACAAGGCACTTTTTCAGAGGCTGCACCAGGTACGTACGCAGGCGCACCACAAGGCACTTTACCAGGGTCTGCACAAAGTACCTACCCAGGCACCCCACAGGGCACTTTTCCAGGTGCTGCACAAGGTACATACCAAGTCGCCCCACAAAGCACTTTTCCAGCGGCTGCACAAGGTAACTTCACATGGGCCCAACAAGGCACTTTTCCAGGGGCTGCACCAGGCAACTTCTCTGGGACCCCACAAGGCACTTTTCCAGGAGTTGCTCCAGGTACGTTCCCAGGAGCCCCACAAGGAATTTTCTCCGGAGCTGCGCCAGGTACGTTCCCAGGAGCCCCACAAGGAATTTTCTCCGGAGCTGCGCCAGGTACGTTCCCAGGGACTGCAACAGGCACTTACACTGGGTTGGGAATGTTTCCAGGGGCAGGATTAGGTAATTTCCCTGAAGCCGCATCAGGTAGTTTTCCTGGGAATGCACCAGTTACTTTCCCAGGGGCTGGATCAGGTACATTTTCTGGAGTTGCACCAAATGTCTATGGTGTACATGCACCAGGTCCCGTCTATGGAGGTGCAACGAGCCCACTATCCGGGGCTGCGCCAGGGATGTACCCTAATAGATCGCTAGGAACTTATCCGGGGGTCATAAATGTCTCAGACATGTTCCCTTCAGGAGGTACACCTGGAGGTACACATATGACACCTGCTGGTGAGCCAGGAATGCCATTATATAACGCAGGCTTATCTCAATACGCAGCAACATATCCTTCTGAAATAGGGATGGGTGAAAGTATGGGAATGTATTCTTCAACTGATTTAGAAAGTGCTGCAATCAAATACAACATTGACAATAATATAAGAAAAAGTTACAAGGAACTATCAGTCTCAATTAATGGTCATGAATTTACAATCAATGTCCTCAGAAAATCACGACCTAAAAAAGAAAAGCCCCAACCTTTACAATTCTGTGGAAGGATCCCTGAAATTGAAAATTCGGATTCAGATGAAACTATAGAAGAAGAATCAATCGGTGAAATAGAGGAAGAATGCCAAGAAAAGGGCGATGATGAAAAATATGAAGAAATTCCAAAAATCGAAGAATCGAATTTGATTAAAAAAGAAAAGAAAAAGAATATAATCAGCGTTCCAGAGCCACCACCTTTAGTTGCACCCACAATACCACAAAAAAATGCGTTTAGACTTTGTGAGTGCGATATAGCACTACCGAAAGGATTTCGTCTTCCTGAAACACCTACAAACGTTAAACAACCTAATTTAGCATTACCTCCAACTCCTCCCCCAAGCCCACCAGATAAGATACCTCAAACACAATTTGATTCTACTTCACAACCAGATTCAACTCATGCAATAGTCAAAACTGAATCACCTCTTCCCCCCATTGTTTCAAATCCTGTAGTTAAAGAAAAAGAGAAAGTAGTAAAACAAAATAAAAAAGTTGAGGAGGCTCCAAAGATCACATATTGTCTGCAACCTGACTGTCCCATGGGGTTTCCATGGCCTCCAAACATTCCTCAGGAGAAAAGAATTATTAAAGTTCCATGCTGCACACAGATGCCAATGCACCCAGCATCTATAGGGCTAAAAGGAGACCAAATTATATTCCAAATGTCCAGTGGATTAGCACCTGATATTGACTACAACCAAAGTATGCTGAACATTGACAATAAGGATAAGAAGAGTCCGTATGTTTTGAAATTAGGTTCCTCTAATTTACCTAAATGTAAATGTACAAAAATGATTTTCGAACTCCCTGTTCCAAAACTTAAAGTAAAAAAAGTTGAGAAAGACGAAACTGATACTCAATATTTAGAGTCAGATAACCCATTTATAGAAACTGTAAAAGTAGACGATGGGAAGAAAAAAGGCAAAGGAAAGGGGAAAAAAGGAGCGAAAAAAGGAGGCAAAAAGGGAAAGAAAAAATGAATACATTTTAAAACTTCATACCTGTCTTTTTATTGTTTTAAATATAATTATAAATTATTGAAGTTTATAAATTTTATACGTTGATAAATTATTTTTACCCTGTTAAGAATGGCTAAATAGCCTATACACTAGTTCTGACTGTTAAGGCATTTGTGATGTCCCTAAAGATAAATATCGCTTTCTGACCACTTAACCTACGAATATTCTTTGTTATCTCTTTGTTGGAGTTGATAGTTGGAAGGCTACCCGGCATTTGTGAAAGTGATATAGTGTTTATGTTATAACTGAAAATTAAAAACTTTTGAAATGGTAGAAGATACTAGTACCAATTTAACCGAAGATGAAACAGAACTTTATGATCGTCAGATTAGACTTTGGGGCATTGAATCCCAACAGAGGTAAGTTATTTTTATTACTTAAACAGTCAAGACAATTGTGGTATCTTGGTATTTTTAGTTATGATAACAATTATATTAATTTACATTCGACTATCAACTGTATTGGGAAATTGGGTTCTCCAAAACACTTTGCAGCATGCTCAATCTGCCCTAATGCATCTTTTTATGTCAATTTGCCTCAATCTGGTGGTTTGAGAACTTAACATTGTTTATGGTATGGGTGTCCAACCTATGGCCCACAAACACCCTGTCTGTGAAAGTTACTTTGATTACATAGTAAAATTTCAAAAACTATTTTAAAAAAAATATGAAATTTAATATATCACAGAAACACGAGGCTACTAAAACATTACATAGCTCACTGAATTGTCATTTATTGAACAAGCTTCTTTTTTTACCACAGTCCATTGCCCATGGACTTTGTGTAGGTCTTAGATTTTTCTAATCTTTTCAAGATAGATTAATTGGCTTAAATATAACTTGAATATATATTCGTATAAAATGGCACCCATCCAAATATTGGTAACAGCTATTTAATAAGATTGATGGGCGGGTTAAGATCATACTACCCATAATCAAAAAAGAATCACACTATGTCTGAAAGTATAAATTAGTGGCAGTACTATATTCCAAGTGTCACTCCACTTCGATGGATGGCACAAGATCTTATGATCATATCATTAATGGAATCCCTTGGTGGCCAAGATTATCCAAAAGTAGACGGTAGTGAACGAACTGTCTTGTAAGGCTCCTACCTCAATTGAAAAGGACCTGTTTGGTGTTTGTTTATTTCTTTTGAGCGAGTGAAAGTCAAAAGCAGTGATTTCATTAAAACTAATTGGTACCCAAATATTATCTGTAAAGAATCAGTAGGGAGTTTGCCGATATCCTTAATCATGAGCTAAATATATCTAGGGAGGTTATTACATGCCAATCATGGTTATTCTGAGAATTCCATTTATGGGATGATCGAAAATTGTGGAATGATCATCATAGTGGAGTGACATTTGTTCAGTTGTTTCGAGGTAACTGATATTGCCAAGGACACTAGCTCGCCTGATGGGAGTCCCCTTGATGAATTCTCTTCTGAAATTTAAACTTTCTAAATCACTTTTTATTGATAGTGTACTTCACCATTAATATTTGAAATTCTTGATCATGATAAATTTTCAAATGCTGTTATGCTCCATCAATAATAGGTTAACATATAGAGGTTACTAGAGTTAAATTAAACAGGCTTACTGTAGCAGTCATATTATTGAAATTCATATACACAAGATTCCTAGGGAACTGTTCCTGTAATGACGCATCGTGTGATCCTAAAGAAATTGACCAGTTAGCAGATCATTTTAAGAGATATCGTTAATTCTTAATAAATTCATCCTTTTGTCTCTCATTTTGATATGATCACTTAAATAATGGAAGTTATTTCACATTTTATTATTGTGAATAGCATATTTTTGAAATGATTTCTAGCAACGCTACCACAAGCTACTCATTTCTGCTCAATTTACAATAAAGATAAATGATATTAACACTAATGATGGTTTCTATATTATAGGTTGCGTAATGCAAGAGTTCTTGTTATTGGATTGGATGGTCTTGGAGCAGAAATAGTTAAGAACCTTGTCTTATCTGGTGTCAAGTCGGTATTGATGCTAGACGATAAAGAATCCATACCTCAGGATACCAGCAGCCAGTTTCTGATCCCTGTAGACAAAGTTGGACAAAATGTAAGTTAATGATAAATTCAATTTATAATTTTTTACCCCAGGAGTTTTCATTTATTTCTTGCTTTTAGAGGGCAGAAGCTAGTTGCCAAAGGGCACAAAATCTAAATCCCTTGGTGTCAGTTCAGGCCGATACTCATAATGTTTCTGAAAAATCTGACGATTTCTTTCATGACTTTGAAGTAGTCGTTAGCTGTAGTCAAGACCTTGCTCAGAATATCAGGCTTGATAATATATGTAGAAGTCGAGGCATAGCTTTTATTGCTGCTGGTGTTTACGGAACATTTGGATATATTTTCTATGATTACTTGGAACATACCTATTCAGTGTAAGTTTATAATTATTTTTCTCTACTATTTAAATGAATTTAGTGTCAATCTTGTTAGTAGCAGTATATTATGGATGGTTTAAAAACCTAATGAGTTGCAGCATTTTAAAAATGTCTTTGAAGAAAGAAAATAGGTTATTTAATTTTTAGTATTTTGTAATTTGTCCAACTTTCTTTTTCTTCTAGATCTTTCTTAAGATGCATGTTTTTTTGGTGTTTATGAACATTAAAATTATTCTTCAAAAATGTTGCTCTGTCATCATTAGCCTCTGTTTCTATAAATACTTTTTCCTTGCAAACTACTTAATCTTTAGCTTTATTCTGTTATGTTTAGTTAAAAGCTTTGATGTTATGAGACTTAACTTTTCAAGGCAGAGTTACAGAAAGTTTAAATAAATTCGGTTGGATAACATTTATTTGGATAAAATGTTATTTCTGAATAATAATAAAAAACATTAAAAGTTTTGTTATGGTATGTATTCCAAGCTAAATGTTTTTTAAAATAATAGCATTTTTCATCTATTTTTTCTCAAACTTACTACAATCTAGAACTCTCAGATCATTTTTCAGGTTCAGATTTGGCCTGAAGAACTGTGTTATATCATTGAAGATAAATTGTTAAACTTATATTAGAAAAAAAAAAATCTCTGTCCATGTAGATTCTTGAATGAAATACTTTAAATAGTATTAATATTAAAGTTGAATACTAACATAGCCTAATTTTTTTTTAATAAGGTATTCTATAAAAATCACAGCAGATAATTTTAGGTCTACCCACTACAATAACTATTGATTAGAAAGAATATTTTGATATTCCTCTAAGAATTCAAATGTTTTTCCAATGCATCAGTAGACATTCTGTATTGATCTTTTTTAAATATTCATTGATTAGCTCTTAGGATAATCTACCATTTTAGGCTTACAACATGGTAGATTGCTTGGTAATTTTTTATGATTGAAAAAATAATTTAATTATTTTATAGAGAATATAGCAGTGGGAAAAAGGGAGCTGAAGTGAAAACAAAGATTGAAACGACTTCTTACCCTTCAATGGAGTCTGTTTTCAATATCAACCTTAGTGACCCGGAAGTGATAAAGAGTTTCATTAGGCCTCCTCCTGCTTTCTTTATTCTAAAAAGTAAGTGATTTTAAATTCTTATTAAATTAAAAAATTACTGACAATTCGTTGGTTTGATAGACCACTATCTGTCAACAGTTAACTGATCCAGAACCATAATTAAGATTTAGACGAATTAAATATGGCAGAACAATCTTACCAAAGCATTGAGGATAATAAATAATAATAATAATAAAAAGGCTTACCGAACCCGAAGGTTCGAAGCCGACACCACCAATCGCTTATTGTACACCTCCCTCCATCATTCGCCGTCCAAACCCAGTCTCTTCAGATCAGCTTTAATACAATCTTCCCACCTTCGCTTCGGTCTACACCTCGGACGCTTACCATTCGGCACAGCATATATTAACCTTTTAGGAATTCTCTCGTTACTAAGTCCAACAACTTTACAAGCGCATTTGATTCTCCGCGATGAAATTATCTCAATTATATTACTCGGATACAGTTCACGCAATTCGGCGTTGTGTAACCGTCTGAACTCTCCGGTTAACTCATCCTTCTTCGGTCCGAATATTCTACGCAATACTTTATTTTCAAAAACCTTAAGACGCTGCTCATCCCTTAATGTAAGTGGCCAAGTTTCGCACCCATAAAGAACTGTAGGCAAGATAATTGTTTTATAGATTCTAATTTTTAAGTTTCGGGACAAGAGGCGCGAACTAAGTAGTTTTGTCACAGAAAAAGAACAAGCATTTCCCACCTTCAGTCTAAGCTTAATTTCTTCTTCAATTTCGTTTTTTCTAGTTATCGTAGAACCTAGATACCTAAACTTATCTACCTGTTCAAACATATTACCATCTATATCGATATCACCAGTTGTATTGTCATTTTTGCAGCTAACCATATATTTTGTTTTATCCACGTTTATTTTGAGTCCTAGTTCTTTACCGGCTTTCATTAACGTTGTCGTATTTAGTTTTATAGTTTCAACGTCTTCGCTTAACAGTACCAGATCATCCGCATAGCCCAGCACGGATGTTGTCCCACCCAGATCCAACCCTTTACGCATTACCTCCCTAATGGCATATTCTAATGCCAAATTGAACTGGACAGGCGAAAGGGAATCCCCCTGTTTTAAACCCAAACGAACCTCAAATTTTTCTGACAGATTATTACCGATTCTAACTTTATTGAGTATCTCCGTCAAGCACATCCTGACTAGATTTACTAATTTTTTAGGAATCCCCTGCTCGATTAGAATATTATACAGTTTCTGGCGGTCAATAGAATCGTAAGCCTTTTTAAAATCTATAAAGAACTGGTGAACAATACCGTTGTACTCCAATTTTTTCTCTAATATTTGCCGTAAAGAAAATATTTGATCAATAGTCGAACGATTCCGTCTAAATCCGCATTGGTAGTCTCCGATAATTTCCTCGGCGTATTCCGTGATTCGACTGGTTAAGATTAAGTAAATATTTTATAACATACCGGAAGGAGTGAAATTCCTCGATAGTTATTACAATCCGTCCTCGGTCCCTTTTTGTGAATCGGAATAAGAATAGATTCTTTCTATTCCTCAGGTAATTTCTCATTTACCCAGATCTTTTTAACCAACTGATGTATTTTAGAAACTCCAGCTTCCCCGCATGCCTTAATTAGTTCAGTAGGAATATTGTCGGTTCCCGCTGCTTTATAAGATTTTAATTTTCCGATAGCTACTTCAACTTCCTCTTTACTTGGTCCTTCTATTAACGGTTCGGCACTCTGGTACTCAGAAGGAGGACACAGATCATAATTTCCCGTATTTAAAATATTGTCAAAGTGGTCCTTAAATTTATTCAATATGTCAACCGGATCGGTCAGAATATTGTTATTATCATCCCTAATTCCAGATGTTACGGATCCTACACATTTACGTGATCTGTTTATACCTTTGTTCATGTCTCTTACGTTATTTTCGATTCTATTAGTTTCTATTTCAATTATTTTATTTTTAAGATACTCCCTTTTTTTATTTTTGAGCAATTTTGTCGTTTCGTTCTTTTAGGTTCGGAAGTATTCCAGATTGTCTTCGCTAGGATTATTTAGAACTTTTAATTTAGCGCCTTTTCGTTTTTCGCACATGTTTAAGCAATCTTCATCAAACAACGGTTTGTTATTCTTATTTTTGTTTTTTCCTAGACACAAGTTACCGACCGCTTTAATATTATCCCTGAAGCATTTAGGATAGTATTAATAAATGGTAATGGTAAATCATTTTCTTCAAGAATCAAAACTAAAAAAATACATAACTGGAATATAATATAGCAAATTTGTCAATCAACTGCCTAGGGATCGACATTTGTAGAAATTTTAGCTGATTCCAATATTCTTAAGATTCATATATTGGCCTTTCGATCTCTTTTTATCCGGGTTATTTAAGTTTCACTTAGAATATTGCTGAACTAATGTGTCAAACAATCACCTAAGAATCAATATATTGGCCCTGAAATATCCGTATTACATTATATTTTATTATGAGTATTGTGAGTTTTCAACAGAAATACACGTTTTGAGGTACCCTTAATCCAAATAACCAAGTCCCAAAAAATGGTCTTGTGTGTTAGCAGTCTAGTCAAAAACTAAAAGTCGTACGAAACTGATATTACGTATTTAAAATAAGTATATGCCTTAGACATGATAAGAACTTTTTCCCTAAAATCGGCTAACCGGAAGTGCCACTTTATATCGAAGGTGAAACACATTTTTACAATTTTCTCAAAAATGACTAACGATTTTGTTTAAAGTCGGTGTATCATTGTATAATTATGTGGCCTTCCATATCATTTAGATCTTATCCCCATTGATGTCACTTTACAGGGCTTAAATGCCTAACGTTCATATACGTCTTCCTCTAAAGTACCTTTAATATGGTTTATTTTAAATAATTAACTATCTCTTATTATTAAGAGTTATGAAAAAATGCTAAATATAACTTTTGAAAGAATTAGATAATTGAATAAAGGAGAAAAAAATAAAAATACTTATCCAGGTCGAAAATGGATCTCCAGAAATAACAGTCAGAAGGTATACATATAATATATCGTTGGAAAGCGGAAAATTTTAGAAAAAAAAATAATATAAAACTAATAAAGTTGTAGAAGGTAATGGAGAGTGACAAAAAATTATAATAATTTTTGAAAACTAATAATATTTAACGTAAATCACATTTTTTCAAAGAAATTAAATGAAATTTACTAACTAAATGTAAACTTTTAAAATATTTTTACGTTTGATAAAAGTATTTAAAATCCATCTAATCAAGGCAATGACATTGTTTAAAAACTATTTCATTATACTTGTGTGAAAGAAGAAGTAAAATATAAAATCATTTTATGGATGCATAAAGTGTATGTTTATAACCTTAAATACATTTACTGTAGTTTAATAATTCTAGATCTGATATTATGTTTAAATAATTAGTTATCAACGTCCGTTTATTCCGAAATCCAAAATCAACCAGTGATATAATAAATCAGAGTTTTATTATTTTATGGTATTTATGATTTGTCAGCTGTATTTTTTTTAGCTTTAGCTCAGTTAAAAATGCAATTAAAAAATTTTATAATAGCCCAACATGGCAAGAAAATAATTTCTATTCAAAGTTGAGCAGTAAGTGAAAGTTGTGTGTTGTGCACACCGATTTGTTATATTAATTCTATGAAACTATATAAATGAACCGTCCTTAATTAACTCACTCAAATGAATAATCACTGCTCTCAGAATCAAATGAACTCATTGTTATAGGAAGCATATATATTATCTGTATTTTATCACTTATAAAATGTTTATTTTTTTCAGTTAGAAAAATAAATATCGGCTTATGGGCTTTTTTTGATATCGGTTGATACCAATAACCAGCTAATATTGGTAGCGGTTGATCTTTATCTTCTTATGCTTCCCAATGGCTACCTCACACATAATTCACTCAGTGTGCTCAATTATTTCTTTTTACGTAATTTGTTGTTCTCAAAATATTTTCTAAATTATTAAGTATGGTGACCTCACTAAACCAACATATTTCTTTTAGATTTTAAAATGTAGTTAATGGCTTTTTTCAATTAACCAAAAATACGATTAATTTTTAGCACATGTATTCTGTTTTCATTTTAATTTCATACATCAATTTAATTTACGTGAATATTACCCAAAACCAAAGTACATCAAAATTTATCTTGATTTTCTCTTTCCACAAACTTGGAATGAAAATACTGCAGTCTTAATTCATGAATGTAATAAAACTATATAACAACAGTCCAAAGTGAATCATTAAAATGGTTCAGGTATAGAAAAAAAGATAAAAATCCTGTACTCCTAAAACCTATTAAGGAACTTGCATTTAATTCTTGATAAGGGTGTGGTACTTGTTCCATAGCGGGAAGCGTCCGACTGCTATCTGCCAATGTATTACCTTAACACTGATAGCTCTGATAATATCTTTGTATTCATATTTATTGTATTGTATTGATATTATTGAGATTGTGAACAAAAACAAAAACAAATTAATAATAAAAAAATACTTTTATTTTACAAGATATATAGTAAATAGACCAAACATTCTACATATATAATTAAAAAACATAATGAAAACATTGCAATATATATACAAAAATAAGCAAAAAAATAGATGAAATAATAAAAAACCACTTAAACAGCATATGTACATATAAAAGAAACGAAATAAACAGTATAAACAAAATATGAACAATTTTATTTTAACTTAATTTATTTTGGTAGGGAAAATAGTTTTATGGTATTTAAAATAGCGAGGAAGGGATCTTACTACTTAGGGATGTTACAACTACGATAGCATCTGCATTTAATCTTCCTGTCGAACTTCATTTCATAACCATCACAATATTTCACCTTTGCAATATTTGATAGTCTCTTCTTCTGAAGACGGCAATTCCCAAAATGTGACAACATCCATAATTAAATAAGACTAACCCACAGCTTACACAAGGAACAAAAAATAAACAAGGGAATAACTTTGGTTAGAGGAGATAAGGCAGGTTTTGACGCTACCCGCTATTGAAAAATTACAAAGGGTGTTACCCTAGTTTCCTTGTGCTGAGAAATTAAATGAATAAAGAAAAATACCATTAAGAACCCTTATTAACGACTGCCTTCATGATCTCAACCTGCTAGGAAAATTATGTCTCTAAACCTGTTCATTCCAACCCAATTTTATTGTTTTAAGATGTTATGTTTTTTTTAAATAATTAATTATTCAAACTTTTTTTTTTAATGAATAGCTCTATATAAATTTCGAGAAGAATTCAAAAGAGATCCTACTGACAGTGAAGAAGACTTTAAGGCATTATTGAAATATCGAGATACACTTTTGGACGGAGTAGATTATCCTAAAGAAAATATCCCTGATGTAGCTTTCAGGTAAATTATCCATTTCTTTTGTATTTATTTAGAAGTAACCATAGGGAATTTTATTTTCATTTTTATATATTTTACTTGTCTTTTTAAAATTTATTTTCCTATTTCTTTCTTTAAATTTGTATAATGATTAAAATAGAGAGTCTATTTATATTTCAAAGTGTTCTTAGGTAAATCTCTTCTTATTCCAACAGGTGCGTAGCTGTTGGGCAGTTGAGCCCATGCTGTGCCATAATCGGAGCCGTGGTCAGCCAAGAAGTGATCAAAGTGGTCTCTAAAAAAGACGAACCTCATAAAAACTTCTTCTTCTTTAACCCATTCAATCTGAGTGGCTTTATACAATCCATTGTTCCATCCTGAATTTATTACTGATAATAATGTCTTTTTATTAAGATTGTTAATAATTTTTATTATTTCAAGTACCCTTTGTACACAATATTTTATTTATATTACTATTTTTGTAATGTTCAATAAAAACATTTTTATTAAAGAACACATTTCAGTTCTTATTTTTTTTTATTAAAAAGTACTGTACTCACTTGAAAATTGTTGGCATGAAGTATTGTTTGCAATAAATAAAATTTATAGAAAATTGTATACATATCAAAATGTATAAATGATATTCTCCTAAACAGTAATTATCATAGCTATTTACTTAAATTCGCAAAATTAGTATTCTTAAAGTGTATGGGGTTATAAATAAATGATTAAAAGCTTTGTGTGCTGAAGTATAAATGTATACAATCAACTTCATTCAGCTGGAAAGCCCAAAAAGACATTCTTCTCGTACAACATGTAAATTGATTCTTATGTTGATTTTATCCATACAATTAATGTAGATTCACATTTAATATATGACATATAGGAATATATAAATAAATAAAAATATCTTTTATCAGATTTTTTTTTATGAGGGATTGGGGAAGGAAAGAAGTGTTATTTAGTAATTAAGATGGTAATTATAATTGCATATTGGCATACCTTTGAGGAATTTTCCCTTCAACTACCAGTGTTCCATTCCCTACAAATTTATTGATTCTTAACTTAAAAGGTTTTAATAGGCCCGGAAATCCCATCACAGTGTAGTTATAAAATAATTTTGAGATCTCCTTATGAGCTTTGTTAACAGAAATTTCTAAATTGTCTCAATTAATCAATTGTAAATCAGAGTGATGTTTTTTTTTTTCTGGTAAAATCTACCATTAACCCGGTATCTTGATTAAGTTGATAATATTGTATTGTATAATTGTATAATATTATAAAACACATTACAATTATACATAGAAATATAAATGGGAAAAACAGGAGTTGCAATTAAATTAATTACATAATTAAAACATTTATTAACAAATAAATAGTAACAATAATAAAACTACTATTTGATTGTGTTCTTCTTTTTTCCACTACTCAGTTCATCCCTGAAAAAACAGTAATCCGTGATTTTCTCAGTTTATTGGAAATTCAAATTAGTATATAAATTTAAAATACAAATACCTTAATAAAAACATTGACAATAAATGACATAGTTACACATAAATAAACTAAACAGTCACATAAATTCAATCAGTTTTTATTTTTAAATATAATGAAAGTTTAAATTGAAGAGTTTACTATCATAAAAACTTGTGAATTTTTATAAAGTAAAAACTAAAATAGGATAATTGTAATTTTCTATTAAATAAAATACATATCATATGAAAATCTATTTTGATTTAAGTTTGGTGTCTAGGTTGCTAGAGAAAGTGAATACAAATGGAGTAGAGGATGAATAAATAAAAAAACAAGTCTAGTATATTCACCAGAATTATTTAAATGGGAAGGGTATAAGTATAGTCGCCGTCATAGAAATTGTATCACCTATTTCTTTTGAATCTTATTTTGATAATATTGATTACATCAAAAGTTTTTGTTTTTCTCTATTTATTTAGGTTATAAGAAAACTTTAACGATGTTTTTCAGTTGTTTTAACTGATTCCAAGAAAAAAGCTGTAATTATAACCAGTTACAAAAACCTTTCCTCGTCCGAAAATATTAATATTGTGACATTACATGAAGTGAAGAAATTTCCATGGGAAATAATGACGAGGATATGGTACCAATCAACAGCAGTCATAGTTTTGAAGAGAAAAAATTTTGACCTACTAGTATAGTGAAACACCATTTCCAAACTCCATAACTTTTCTCTACGACATTCTTTGTTGGAATCAAATATTGATTAAATGACTCCTTAGCTTTTAATGTAGGGTTTGTTATATACTAAGTCATTCAATGCTTTGTTTGATAGAATTTTGATGGATAAATACATTTATTTTATAGAAAAGTTCTTAGTGACTTTCATATTTTAATTTATTATTAGGATAGTAGGAGATAACAGGAGCTCGGCGATCATTCTTAAATTATGCAGCTGTTCATTTACTTACATACGGGTTAAGCTCCTGTTACCTCCTACTCTAAAATAAAGATTTTAGACTAAATATTGGTACAAAAATGGAAATGATTTTTTTTATGTTGATAAAAAATTTGTTATATATCGATAAAATATAATATAATCTTTATAACAGAATACATGTAAATTAAAGTTATACCATTTGAGTAACGAGTAGGACAATTAAATGAACTGTTGTATAATTTGTAAAATGGGGGTTGGCCTGTCATTAGGCAGAGAGGACGTACCCTCCTAGTAATTATAAAATATAGTAAGAGACAGAAGGAAAATACATACTCACATAGATACGAGGACAGCTCCAAGAGAGCTGATCGCTACCATGGATGGGTCCAACGCATGAGGAGATTGAGGTTGTGGTGCACGCCCAAGAGATCTCACCAGCCTGCTACCCTCTCGCATACCACTTAATTCCCACGTAGGTCGCTGCAACATTAAATATAACCAATAACCAAACAAGATTTGGTTTATTTCTGAATCCTGGTTACAATGGTTGGTTCATCACTACACAAGACTTTAGTTATTAAGATTGTAAGAGTACACAGGGGATTGCCTCAATTTTTAATACTTCAGGTAGAATATTTATGTACTTTCATATATCATCACCAGTACATTTAATTAATAAATGTGAAAAATCATATTTTTCCAATTTATAACTTTTTGTTAATTTATAAGAACCATTTGTTTTGTTTTTTGTAAATATAGTCTTGTAAAGAACATAAATATAGAACTTTAAGAAGTAAAATGGCTCAGAGATAAAAATAATTATTCATAATGGAGAAGCTAAAGTTAAAAAATAAGTTTTTTTTTAATTTTGTCCTATTTGTTATTGAACTCTGAATAGAATACTGGTCAATTTATCCACCGCATCAATATATCCGCACCTAATCGTAGTTTTTAAAAGGAACAGAAGCGCTGTGTATACTTTATTTACAGCTACTAACAGAAGGTAGACAGTTGCGCTTAAGATGGAAGAATCCAGATAGACTTTACATTAAAAGTGGTCAATAGTTCGACCAGTGTGCATTGAGTTTCTTATTTGTCAACATGTGTTAGCAGTTAACTATGTGTTCCATGTTTTGTTCATTTTATTTTCTGGTAAAATTTTAAGCAGTGTTGTAAATATATGGGCTACGTATTTATTTAATAAAGTAAATCGAGAAGGAGTTAAGCGGGGGGTGCGGTCAAATAAATACTAAAGTAAAATATAGTAATTATTTAATTTTTGCCGACGTTTCGACCCACTTTACAGATCGTCTTCAGGGCTACAAAATATACAAAACATGGTGGAAATAAAAAAATGAACGTAAGTAGATATAAAATAAGAAGTTGTCAGATACAGAAATAAAAAGATGAAATCAGAGATATAGTGGGTGACAATATAGTTAAAATATCAAGTATTATATACGTAGAAGATACAAACAAACGGAAAATAAGTATGAATAAAATTAAAAAATAAAGGAGAATATAGCATGTAAGTTAAAATTGCGATAAAAGATAAGGAATAAGTGTATAACAAACTAATAGAGATTACATTTGATAACTGTGGGTTAACAGATAAAGAAAATGAATGTTAACGAATAAATAGATTGAAAATTGAATAAGTATTGTTATAGTAAAGTTAAAATAAGAATAAGATAACATAATAATAAGATATATATATATATATATATATATATATATATCTTATATGTTATCTTATTCTTATTTTAACTTTACTAAAACAATACTTATTCAATTTTCAATCTATTTATTCGTTAACATTCATTTTCTTTATTTGTTAATCCACAGTTATCAAATGTAAGCTCATAAATATTAATTTAATGTTACTTTCCATTTTTTTTTTGCAGCAATATTGCAGTATTGTGACCCTATTGTTATACCTTGTAGATTCCTGTGTACTTATGTTTAAGTTATTCTGTTGCAATAGTTCTTTTTGCCAAATCTAACACTAATTTGTATGAATAATATTGTAATTATTAAGGGACTTAGTCCCAGAATAATGTTGATATTTCTATTCTATTTAATTCTAAAGAGTTAAACATGGTGGGAACAATATATATCCTTACTTTTTTTCCATAACTAAAAATAAACTTAAACTTGTCATTTACAGCAGAGATCAATAAGTAAGCCTTACATGTGTCATCCTAAGCCACAAAGAGAAAGCGAAGCCGATGAACGACCCAAACGTGTCGGAGTAGAGATACGGAGGATATGAACCAATGATCTTGCCCTTAGGGCAGAGCAAACAGCGACAGAATTCCTCAGCAGCTTCACCTTCTGTGTTGAACACAAGGTCATACCTGTTATAAACCATACAGTGATATTATCTGACTTTTAATTTATGTACAAGTATTGATTAAAGCATGATAGTGCTATATAAATTAAAAAAAAAAAAAAAAAAGAAATAGTACCTATGCCTATGAAGAGGATCAGTCATGAGTAAGGGTGCAGTGGATAAATGGAAGAACTGGCCAGGATTGTCGGAGCCGACGGGTGTTTGACTAGTTGTAGCGGAGGCCTCACAGCCATGAGTTGTCAGAGTCCTTCTGAGGGCATCTCCGACCCAGTTTGAGCCACAATGAACAAACACCCTAAATAAGATAAATGTAGATCAATAAGGAGTAAGACTAATTAAAAATATGATAAAATAGATTTTTATAAAATAGCATATTAAATGAGGCGCAAACCACCAAATAGGGATAACTGTAAAATAGTTCAGAAAAAAAAAATCTGATAAGTTTGCCGTGTATAGAATAAATTTCGGCCTTAATAGGTTTGTGTTTTGTAAGGATTAATTTTTTTGTAAATATTTACCTGAAGTCTATATAATGAACTTTTCAAAAATGGAGTCATTTCCCTTTGGATGGAGGGCGGGTGGGTTTATAATAAAAAATAAAATGATACATTATAAACTAATTTTCTTACTTTCTGTTTAAATGATTATTTTTTTAATAATCTCTAAAATAAAATATTAATACACAAAACTGTTTTTAAAATTAAAATTAATTGACACATCAGTCACAGTAAATTAATCTTTGATATTGAAAAGCAAACATAATCATTACTAAAAGATAAAGTTTAAGAAAAATATTATAATGTGATATACTCACAATTTTAACATTTAAAAATATGAAATTCACACAAAAATTATATTATAAGTGAAATGATTAATATATAAAATTAATTTCTAGTGGATCAGTTATTTTATTGACTACTTGTTCAATTTCATTTAGAGAAACAATATTTTTATATTAATTTCATATAAAAATGGATTATCCCTTTTTGTTAGTACACTTTATTATTTTACTGTTCATATTTTGCAGAAGGTTCATACATTTTTAAAACTTGTCAAAAATCATTTAATAATAATAAATACGTGATCTTATACCAGCCATATCTTACAGTTTCAGAATTTTAAAATGGTCTACAACTTCACTCCAGGAATTGGATAGATTTTATACGGACCAGTATGATTAAGTACAGAATGCATCAGCCGACTGCATTTATGGCAAGGCTTTATTTGCACAGAATACCTCAAGAGACATGATGTTGCAAAACTTTATCGTCAGGCAATTGGTCTAAAAAGAAAGTTAGTGAATGATTTGATTCCTTATTATAAGTAAAACCCTAAAGAACTTATCCAGAAGGAAGGAATGAAGTTGTACTGAATTCAATCTTTTATAACAGACTATACAGTGTTACATAACAAACCTGATATAGCGTTGATTGATAGTAATATGAATGAAGACAACTGAGATAATAGATATAGCTGAGCCAAATGATGGGAATAACAACACAGTCTGCGCCGAAAAAATTCAGAAATATCAAACTCCTGCAGCCGAGTTAAAAGATTTGTACTGGCTGATCAAAGTGACAGTAAGGGCTTTAATGATCTCTAGCAATGGGCTAATTCCAAAATCCACTGTAGAAGCTACCGAGAAGTTGGGCCTCTCAACAGCTATGATAAATGAAGTCTAGAAAGCTGTGCTGCTGAACACGGCAGGAATCGTAAGGAGCTTCCTAAATATCCAATAGAACTACAAAAATTGACGTGAAGTGTGAAAGTTAATTTTTCCCCACTCCAGGAAAATACAGAAAGAATAATAATAATAAAAAGGTGTCCCAGTGCCAGGGAGAGAGGGGGGGGAGGAGAGGAGGGAGGCAGCTTTTAACTCTGGCATTAATCCCTTGCCCTCACCCCCTGGCCTAGGGTGAATGGCTAAACCCTGTATAACCTAAAAGGTGAGGAAGGGAAGAACAAAAAAAAAAAAAAAAAAAGAAAGTTCACGTAATTCAGCATTGTGTAATCATATAAATTCTCTGGTTGACTCATCCTTCTTTTATCCGAATATTTAATGCAATAATTTATTTTCAAATACCTTAAGATGTTGCTCTTACAAAATCATTTAAAAGAATAGAGAACAGAAGGATGGTTGGGGTGATCAGTCAAAATAAAAATATTTATTTTAATATTTATATATACATAGATATATATATACATTTTTATGTTAAAATAAATATTATTATTTATTTTTGCCATTTTTATTTTGACTGATCACCCCAACCATCCTTCTCTTCATTATTCACTACAGTCAACCATCAACCCACAATTACAAAAAGAATAGAGATTTCATCACCTTTTAGAATGAAGTTCTCTTGTATTTATGCCTGATTCTTGAATATATCGCCAAGATAAAACACTTGGATAAGCTGACCAAGCGCCATCTTCCAATGAAACTCTGGATAACAAATTGATATTCAACATTAGTTAAGCTTATACACAAGGAAATGGTTACCGGTAATAGGATAAAGACATATGGTAAATATATTATTAGTAAATTAGATCAATGCTAGTTCAAAAATATTAAGACATTGTATCAAAACATGGCAGTGTTGGGCAAAATTTATCTTAAATAAAAGATAACAGATAATGAATAATTTATTCGAACTTTTCAACTACAAATAACGAATAATTGTGTTTATCTTTTATCTAGATAATAAATAAATTCAAGTTATCTGTTATCTTTTTATTTGTTATTCGACTTTTTTCAAATAAATTTCGAATAATTTGACGCTAATTTTATTTTTCTTCTATATACGGGCCAATGTGTATATTTTCAGATCCATAGTTTTTAAAAATTATCTCCATTTTAAGATTACACCACTGCATTGCGACTTTTTTTAGGATTCCTTCCATATCAGGGTTTTAGAGGTGATTTTTATGAAAATACTGTCGGATTTGAGATAAAAATATCAGGGTTTTGAGGCGCTATCTCAAATTCGACAGTATTTTCATAAAAAGGGCCCCTGAAAACATATTATTCGACCCTCATATCAATTAAATCTGAAAAGTTACAAAAAGTCGGTTCGGAGGGGGGGGGGGGTGCTATCTCATATTCGAGAGTATTTTCATAAAAAGGGCCCCCAAAAATATATTAGTCGACCCTCATATCAATTAAATCTGAAAAGTTACAAAAAGTCGGTTCGGGGTAGGGGTGCTATCTCATATCCGACAGTATTTTCATAAAGAGGGCCCCCAAAACATATTAGTCGACCCTCATATCAATTAAATCTGAAAAGTTACAAAAAGTCGGTTCAAGGGGGGGGAGACGCTATCTCAAATCCGACAGTATTTTCATAAAAAGGCCCCCCTAAAACATATAAACAGACCTAAATATCGAAGAAATTCTAAAATTGCATAAAAGATTATTCGAATTGGATTTTCATCTTAAATAACAAATAATAGATAACAGATAATGCATATTATTTGTAAATAACAAATAACGAATAAAAATTTATCTATTATTCGTTATCTAGATAAAATTTCAAATAATTTATTTAAATAACGCCCAACACTGAAACATGGTACTGCCCCATTACAGGACCCTTGCCAAAAGGATACGCTTATTTATTTGTAATTAGCACAATGCACCACTGTTAATTTTCAGATACCACATTGAAACCTTAATACAAACTTCCACAGGTGGAAAAGAAAAATTATAGGCCTTTGTTTAACAATAAGGGTCCATATCAAAAAGTTCATTTCCATTACGTATATAAGAAAATTTGGTGCAGTGCTAAACACAACTTTTATGTACTACACTAGTTTTTTAAAGAAATTAATAAAAATATTGCTTTAATTATAAAAACAAACTTATAACAATCCCTACATATATTATTTCACTAAGGATCAAAATTGGTTTTGTACCAAATATAAGCCCCTATCATGAATGGGGGCACTGTTCACAATTTCACAGGAGGGTGAAGAAGTAAGTGAATTGGATTATCCGTTTTTGTTTTAGTTTCAAAAACAAATAAAGTCGAATTAAACATTTCACTAGGAACCTGCGTTGGCTCCGTTCTAAAGATAATACAAGGTAAACAGGTTTAAAGCCATACAAGCTCATGCTAACTGCAGTTTTGTCCTGGGATACATATTCCATGTCGTGGACTATGTTCCTATGAATAAGAGAGGAGTTTAATCCCTAAATATTATCTCTCACAGTGACTTTTGGCGGTACGACATATCATTGTTAATTCTTCATCAAATCCAATGATAGAATGATCATTTTGAAGATTAATACATTTTCTTTCAGTTGAAAAATGGTCATATTCCACCAAAATTTCAGGAAAAAAAGTTATAAAGAAAAATAAACTTTTTTTGGGAATAACTCAAAAACTATACATTTTATTGTTGATTGCACCCATGATTATTTGAAAGGTTCCTAAATTTCCTTAAAAAAAAATAAAAAAAAAACTCCCACAGATTATTTCAATTTGCAAACATAACACAATTTACATTACAGTAAGGTAATGCAAATTGTAATGTTGGTTTAAAACATGAATAGTTTAAAATTAATTTTCTTTTTGTTGTTTAGTAACAATTACAGAGTAAAAGAGAATAGATTCCTCAATCATTGCTTTAACTTATTTTCCTTATTATTTTGTCATTTGTTTACTAATATACTAAGAAAATTATTTGCATGGATCAACTAGTTAATATAAAGCATAACAATTCTTATGTTGTAATAAATAAATAAATTTAAAAAATGCATAAGGTTATTTTATGCTTTTGGTTCTTCAAGCTGAAAATGAGTTTTGTAAATGTATTTCATGGAAATTTCATTTAGTTTCCATCAAAACTTTCATTTCTTATTCAATAATAAACAATATTAATGAAGAAGACATTATTAACTACAACAAATAAAAATAATTAGTTTTTCACACTATTCATTACCTTCTATGACTTTTTGCGTTAAATATTAACTTTTCTAAAATCTTTAGCTTTCCAATTATACATTATGTATCTTATCTTACTAATCTTATTTTTGGAAAATTGTTTAATAGCTGCAAATATATTTCTCCTTTATTTAATTATCAAATTCTTTCATAATTTATATTTATTCATTTTGCATTACTTTTAACAATGAGAGATATTATTATATAATTTTTAATAATCAAAACCAAAGGTACTTTAATGGATTAAAGTTAGATATTTCAGCATTTAAGCCCTGTTATACTGTTCTAATGCTGGCAAGACTTAAGAGATATTAAAGCCAATTTAATATTTACTTTAAATAAATTTTCTGTAAAAGAAATCAATAGGTTATTTCAAAGAATACCATAGAATATTAAGTCTGAAATGATCGGTGACAATTACTTTTTATAACAATATACAATTTGGTTCAACGTGCCAAAAGTTCTAATTTTCTTCTATTAAAAATCCCCTTTTTTTCAGGTTTGTTTTAACAACTTTTATCTGATATATAACTTCTGTCTAATACAGATAAGGAAAACATATTATAAAAGTTGCTATGGCCTCTCCTGACCAGCACATGTAATGTTAGTAATCTTTGTGTTATATTTTAATGATATATTGATCATCCCACAAATAAAGATGTTTTTATTTATGTATTAGTCAAAACAAAATTAAAGCACATTTAATAATACTAATATATGGAGCTTTCCTATATTTTGACCATGGAATATTGGCTTTAAATTAATGTGGAAACTTTTAAAGTATAAAATAATGTTTTAGAAAAGCATAATTCAGACTAATATGTTGAATAAAAGATGAGCTACAAAAGAAAAAATTCAGGAAATGCAATCTGAATTAAATGGGCAAAGTATTCTCATTATATGAAACTGATGTTACTTATGAGCTAACTTGTTTCAATTATGACTATAAGAATTTATGATTTTTTTAATATAATCACAAATGAATTTATTTAGACCTTAGCTGGTTCTCTATTCAATGTGTAACAGTTATTAAAATTAGTTAAAATTAAATAGAAAGGCAGGAAATATACCCCTTTGGGAGCGAAACAACTTGCCACGACGAAAGACAGACATACTGGGAGAGGCAACCTTTCCGCCATACAGGGCACCAGAAGATTACTTTGTCTCCAGGATCTATGCCTTCAACGGCACCACCAACCTCCACTACAGTTCCAGAGCCGCTTCGTCCAAGAATGACAGGTGGTTCGGTCTTCAAGGAACAAAAGTACTCAAATCATTATAAAAAATTAATAAATACATATATATTTTAATAGATATTCATGTGTCTATTCAAAAGTATTAGAATATATTAAACCTTTATGACATAGCTATTTTCCAGAATAATACCTCTCTGCAATTAGAAGTTGTATTGTTTAAAATAAAAAGAGGGTAATGATTAATAAAGACACCATTTTATGCTACAAATTCACACAAATTTTAAAAATTATTTAATAAAATATAAGATCTATAATCTATTGTTTAGATGCTAAATATATTTAATATATTCAAATCTCCATCCTCACATATCATGATAGAGACAATTAGCAGATTCGTTGTTATGTTACAGAATGGCACATCAGCCCTGTGGTCAGGAGACTTTCCTGGGGCACACTCTATAAAGTGAGACCTTTTAATTAAATAATTTATAATTAAGGGAGAAAATCTGGCAGTTGAGCGTGAACACAGTTTGATCACCTCCCTGCACAACCATTGGCCTTGAAACAGTACTTCCTTACATAGTACTGAACCCAAAACCCTCCATTGGTTGTAGAGGTACAGGTTTTTAAAGAATTAAGAATATATAAATAAAAATTGTTAATCAATTGCCTTGGTAAATATACAGTGATAATAAAATAAAATTTCATACAATCAATTCTATATAATCTCTAATAGTCTCATAAATACTCACTGAGTGGTCAAGAATTGATCGCATAGTCTTTGAATATCCACTAGAAATACGAAGATCAGTTTGACAGAGAGTTGCAAATCGTACCTCGACTAGTATCTGGTCTGGTGATTTAATGGTAGGAATCGGTACATCTTCGAGTACAGCAATACCCTAAGCAAATATTAAATTATACACTGAGAATAAATAAAAATTAAATGTTTCTAAAAAGACAAAAAAAGGATTAAAGTCATCATGAATGTATAATCCAAGAAAACAGAAATACTTATGAAATTCTGGCATGAAATATTTTCAATCGAAAACATTAAAAGCTATCTATTGATACTTCCTTACCTATAAAACATTAAGTTCATTGGTTGAGGGTTGCAGTCAATGAGAAACACAAATAAAAATAAAATTTTTCATTTTGCATTGTGCTGACATATTGAACTAAAATAAGTTTCAAGCTTTGATCAGGGCTGACAAGACAAGATAAAACATCTAAAAAATGTTTTAAAAAACTATTATAAAAAGATGTGAAAACAAAATACGTGGTATCTGCTGATAAATAAATTCTAAGAAGTGAATAAAAAATTATGTTATGTAAGATATTTTATTAATTTTATCATAAACAACATAATTTTTTATTTACTTATTAGAATTTATTTATTAGCAGGTAAGATATATTTTGTTTTCATATCTTTTTATAACAGTTTTAATAATTTTTTTATTGTTGTTATCTTATCTTATAAATAATCTAAGTTAAAATGTTTGAGATTTTCAAATTGTCAGAATCAAAAACAGCTATTACTACTAATATTAACCTATAAAAACAGATAATATATAATTATTTTCTTACATACATCAGGTCCAGTAAAATTGGTAGCAGCTATAGCTCTCATCATGTATATTGGTTTCGATGGTGCCTGCAAACAAAAGCCTAAGGCAAGTCCCAGGCCGGATCCGACAGTAAAACCAAAACAGCATGCCGTCAATGTTCCTCGATTTACTAAAAGAACAAATAAAGGCCATTGTTAATTCAAAGAGTGATAATGGAACTATTGGTTAGGAAAAACTCACATCAAGGCATAATTCTGAAAGATAATTTAATTTCTTCATTTGACCATTTATAATTTGTTTTAAATAAAAACGATTGTTGGATAGTAAGTTGGTACTATGGGTATTCGCTCTAAAATTCAAAATTAATATGGTTAATATTATTATTCTGTAACTTCAAAACTACAATATGTAAGAATGGCAGAAAATATTATTAATTAATGAATGAATCAGAAAAAAATGAAGATGATAAAATTAATATTATCTGAGAGATGATTTTCAGTACTAACAAAAATTAAATATTTTAAGCGTTAAAAAAAATTATAACCATTGAAAATAAGCTTATTTATACAGCAAGATCAACTAAAATTGGCAAAATGAAAACTAACTACATACTTGGTCTACAAGCATATATAAGTAATAAAGCAAAAATGGATAACTAACAACCAATATGGATCAACAATGAATATGTGTCAATTTTTTTTTTTTTTTATTACTTTTTAAGGACTAGTTGTTATCTGTCATGGATCCCAAAGGAGATTGTTTAACTTCTTCAGGAAGTAGAAAAAAGCACATATACAAAATAAATATAGCAAAAGAGAAGAATATCTTTAAGTTTTTAAAAAGAAAGTATTGTATAGAATTGGTTCAAAGAAATATGAGGACTGGAGGATTAAGGTAACACAATACGGAGTGAACCCCACCTAAGGGGAACCGGCAAAACATAAAAATATTTTAAATTGCTCTTCCGAATCAGAATTGATATATGAGGCCAAGTTTAGTAAGCAATTATATCACATACTCGGTAGGGAGGGCGGGGTGGCTGAATGAACTAACGCGTGTGCACAGCACCGCGAATTGCCCGCATAACAAATTAGAGATTCGAAAGGTTACAAAAAATATGAGTTCGGGTCCTGGTGCCGGAAGGGATTTTAAATTCCCCACCCTCATCCCCCAGCCCGGGAAAACCCTGTATCTAATAGGCGAGGTAGGGAAGAAAAAAAATCACATACTCGGTTAGTATACCGTAAATATATTAGGCTAAATAATGAAAGAATTGCTTATTCTCATTCATATCATTTCAAATAAAAAAATATCGCAAAGAAAAAAAGAAGTGCATTATCAATTTAATAGAATAAAATTAGGATCAAATGATACATTCAAAATGAAATACATACAAATCCATGAAGTTATTCATAGAACAGAAAATAAAAATCAACTCATTTAGTGTAGATCTAACAATTTTAACTTCATATATATACATAGTATACATTTTTTAAATGAAAACTACAACATATGAGCATTAACTTAAATGAGTAAGTGTCTTAAAATATGAAGGGCAATAAATAAACAAAAAAAATAATAATTTATTACATTACTTGGTATTAATAGATAAAACAAAATAGAGAATAAGCTGAACCCTCCCCCCTCCCCTAATAACAGGATTCGTGTAGAAGGATCGTTATGTAAGTAGATAAATTCAACTACCTCCATAATAATCTCAGTGAACTGTCGGAAATAGATCAGTATAAAGATGTAGAAGGCTGATTAAAGCAACAGAAGACCTAAGAGGTCCGTAATGACAATATAAAAAACACAAAAAAAAAACTTGGTATTACTTTCTAATCCTTACTCTAAGATTATGATTAGTTTCAAGATCATTTTAATCGCTCTGTAGATGGACTGCTGAAATAGCAATGTATTGAAGATTATATATCTAAATATTAATATAAATTTAACGAACAGCTAACTAACATTTAAATAACGGTTCACATTGTTAATAAGTGAATGTGATGGGATCTTGAGCTAAGGTTAGCAAACAGGAACAAGTTTAGGATAGGTTCCTAAACTACCTTCACACAAACATTCTTCTAAGAAGGGTTAGATTGCTCATCTACATCAACTTGCAGACACACTCAGATCAGTTGGGGGCGGGGTGGCCGAATAGGCTAAAGCGTGTGTAACAGCACCGCTAGTTGCCTGGCAACCGGATAACAGAGATTTGAGATGATATAAAAAGTACGAGTTCGCGTCCTGGTGCCGGAGGGGATTTTAAATTTCCCCGCCCTCACCCTCCGGCCCGGGAAAATCCCGTATAGCCTAAAAGGCGAGGTATGGAAGAACAAAAAGACACACTCAGATCATTTCAGGATTCCATCTATAAAGTGCTCAAAATGATCTTGAAACCAACTGTCAACTTGAAGTAGTGAAGTGGAACAAGTACCAACTATTCGTAAGAATAATATAAGGATATTACTGTACAATGTCACTCACTCCACTTTGATAGGTGGCACAAGATCTCATGATCACACCATAAATAGAATCCCCAGAATGGTCCAGTGTCTCCGGAAGTAAAAATTAGTTACCGAATCAGCCTCGACCTCAAATGAAGAGGAGGTAGTTTATCCCTTTAGAGTGAGTGGGAGTCCTCAGTAATAGTTTTTGTTTTGTTTTTTTAAAAAGCCTGTTCTTACAAGTATTTTACTACCTGTAGGCCTTCCCTAATTAAGAGGGTAATGGTCTAACTTCCAGCGGAGACCAGCCGTAGTGGGTAGTAGGGCCGGGATTCGATCCTATGAACTTTGCTTTACTAGTATAGAATACTAACCACTCTGCTATTCCGGCACTAAATAACAATTTAATTAAAGCTAATTAACGCCCTGATTTTAACTGAAAAGAACCAGCTTCAAGTTTGCTGGAGTCAAGAAAGTCGATCTAGCTGAAGGGAGATTATATTGTAGACAGATTGTCAATCCTCAAAATCATATTTAAAGCGTGATAATGGGATCTTAGCCCACTTGTCACATTGGAGTGGCACTAGTATATTGGTACCAAAATAAGCATTCAGCTATTATAAATAATATCATAATAGGTAACCCTATAACATATTCTCAAAACATTCCTGTTCAAATATCCAATAAATGATTTTGGAAATGAATTGCTCAAGAAAATATTAATACAAATACAGCATGACAATGTTTATAGATAACAAAAACAATCAAGAATTAAATTGGAAATATGAAAATGAAACCATCATTTAATTAAAGAGAAATAAAATAAAAAAGGGATTAGAACAGCATATGTACAAGCAGCCATGATGCAGAGTACCCAAATCAAAGCAGGAAAACATATGAAGTAACCACAAAGGCGTCTTTCTGAGGAGTAGAAAAGTAAATATGATTCCATTGTAGCGTGACATCAAAATCTACTGGTTTCTACTCTCTACAATTACTAATTGTTATGGAATCTTACTATCATTTCCAACAAATGAAGAAATAGATGCAATTATTAGTTTGGGGTATGAAACCCTTGTGAGAAGATCAACTGCTTCAGTCCAAGACTCACTTAGACATGTTACTATTTCTTTGAATCCTTCCTGAATGATTCGATACTGTTCCGATGCCAGCACCTCTTGCGCAGTATTTTCCACGAGTTCCAAACTTCTTTGAGTGATTTCTGCAAGCCATATCTGTAAAAAAAATAAACAATAAATAGAAGAAATTCAAATTATACAAATGATCGCAGAGCCTTCATCCTGTGCATTAGCAGCATACAATTTGATTATTAAGTTAAATATTAACCATATTAGTTATTATAGCTATTTGCAGCAATAAATTTTAATTCAATAACTCAGTAAAACAGAATTACAGGAAAATCTACATGTATTTCGTGAAAACAAATACACTGATAAGAGATTGTACATTTGATTATTTAATCAACTATAGAAACCAATCAAGTTGCTATTCAGTTTCTAGTATAAATGATATATTTGGTTCATATAAAAATCAATGCAGCCAAGAAAAGAGCATAGAAATTCTGACTAAGTCTTAGAGAAGTAATTATGACTCATATTTTATTACCTAATTTCATAAACAATCCACTAAATATTCCATCACTTTGTGACTTACTTGAAACGTTTCGATCCTTTGCATTAGATGAAAGGTGACTTCATCCATTTTTCTGATTACTGAGTAATCTTTGGCAAAGATTTAATCAAATAAATAAACGTTCATACATCTTCCTATAAAATAGTATTCGCTAAACCGGTAAGGAGGTTAACTTAAATTGTAAACTAGTCATGTCAGGCCGGTGTACAAAGTTCATTAAAATTAACAGAGCTAGCTGAAATATCTAAATTCAGGCATCTTAAGTATCTCTATCAGGTGGAACCTTTTTCAAAGGCTCAAATAATATCGAATTCAGAATAATCGATAGTATTGTAGCACAGAACTTACCACTTAAAAGAAAAACGATCCAATGAGATTAAAAATAGTTAAAGTTAGTAAAATTTTCATCCAAAAAATTGAAGTAACAGAATATACACTGGGCCAAACAATCTTTTGGATACCCTAACTGAGTTTTATTGCCTTAATTTTACCATCGAAACAAATAACCAAATCCCACAAAATTTAGGTGACGATTAATGGTGTGTGTGTGTGCGTATGTATGGGTCTAGCTCAAGAACAAAAAGTCATAGGAAGCTGAAAATACATATTTAAGTCAGGTTTTTGTCTGGGATGTTCCAGCAAGTTAATCGGCAATAAAATCGGCTTACTAAGTGCCACTTTATATCATCGGTTTTAAGGGCCACTCAGACGCTCAATATTATTGAGTCAATAACGAGTTTCGTCATCTATTGACCGTGTAAGGGCTGCATTGGCATCGATAATATTGAGGTCAATCAAACTGGTTAATATAATTTTTTTTTTTATTGTAGCTTCTTCAATATTATTGAAACAGTGTCAATATAATTTTACGTGTAAGGGCTATATTGAGCAATACTAAACCACATATACGGATCTAGAGAAGCTCTGGACGATACCAAATTTCCGGTGCCCCTCCTGGCAATACGTTTGCGTAGGGAGGGTGATTCTTTTTTTTACTTTGTTACTTTTGGTGGGAAGGGAGAAGAGAAAGTGGGGTTAACCTCCTATCCGACTTTTTAAAAGACAAAATGGACATATGTTTCGGTAGGTGGCTGATACTTTGTTTTACTATCATACTATATACTACATACTATAGTATCATACTACATACTATATAGTACTATCATTTATTTTATTTTTTTTTGGAGGGAGGTTAACTCCTCCCCTCCGAAATTTTTTTTAAAAGATAAAACGGATCATATGTTTCAGTAGACGGGTGATACTTTAGGTTTATTCCAACAAGCAGTTCTGAACCAGTTCATGCACTAGTTCGGGGCCGATTTACTGCGCAGTTCCGGTTCATGTACTATTTCTGGTGCTTGTTTGAACGCTTTTTCGGTAGATTTCGGTAGATTTGACCATTTTGACGTCACTAAGATAGAAGGTTACCCATGCACAATGTTGAAAATGTTGATGTTTCAGTTGTTCCCTAAATAAGAGGTTATTATTTGGGTTGCCCCGACTCCTATTACAAAACAAATCAATTAAATTTAGTTGGTTAATAAATTTATTATATATTGGTAGTATCAAAATTCACTCAAAACTTAACTTTAAAAAAATTATATAATTAAGAGGTTTTGGAATATGGGTTTTATTATAAAATGTCATAACATAATGGCACTAAGCATTTTAAATTTCACAATAGAGAATTACTACTAGTGGTAATTTTAATATACATGTTTATTGGTGTTATGATGTCATATTTTCTACTATATCTTTAATATAATCTAAAATTTAATATTTTCTAGAAATCCTATTTTATTTTATAATAAAGTTTTTATATTTGATAAATGGTCTTTGCCTTTGGATCCTGATGCATTTCATTCTGATGGATGCTGTAAACTTCAGCTGAAATATTGGTAAAAATTAATTTAAGGCTTCTTAATTAGGTGTTAAACTATTTTATCTCTTGTTGCATCCCCAACCGATTTCTACCAATCTCATCATTTATAATTTAACAATTGCATATAATCATCACTTTCTACTAGTACTTAGTATTAGATTAAACATAGAATTAAAAATAATCCTAATGTATATGGATTAATGAAACAATTATGTTAACAACTGACAAGTTCAATAAATTTGTTGATATTATGATTTCAGTCATATTTTTACTTTCACTTACCTATATATGCAATATATAGTAAGGGAAAGTATTGCGATAGTGAAAATTTCCGAATCTGAGTTTTCAATGGAAATACACATTTTGAAGTACCCTGAGTCCAAATAACCAAGTCCCGCAAAATGATGTGTCTGTATGTCTGTGTGTCAGTGTGTGTGTGTATGTTAGCAGTCCAGCTCATAAACTAAAAATCGTACGAAATTGATATTAAGTATTTAAGATCGGTATATGCCTTAGATATGGCAGCAACTTTTTCCTTAAAATTGGCTAACCGGAAGTGCCACTTTATACCAACTCTGAAACACATTTTTATAATTTCCTCAAAAACGGCTCTTACTATTTTGATTAAACTCGTTGTATCATTGTATAATGAAGTGGTCTTTAATATCAATCTGGTCTTATCCGCATTGATGTCACTTTAAAGGGCTCAAATGCCCAATGTTCATATCCATCTTCCTCTAAAGTACCTTTAATATGGTTTATTTTAAATAATTACGAATACGAAAAATGCTAAATATAACTTTTGAAAGAATTTGATAATTGAATAAAGAAGAAAAAAAAAAGGTTAACCAGGTCGAAAATGAATCTCCGGAAATACTAGTCAGAATGTATACGTATAATATATCGTTGGAAAGCGGAGAATTTTGAACCAACCTGAACCTGGTTTGGGCTTTGTTAGAACAGCAAAACTGTACTGCCATGCGTAAACAGTTCAGAACTGGTTGTTGGAACAGACCCTTTGTTTTAATTTTATTTTTTGGGAGAAAGGGGAGAGTAATCTCCCCCTCCGATATTTTTTAAAAAGATAAAACGGATATATATTTCGGTAGGTGGGTGATTCTTTGTTTTACTTTTATTAATTTTTTTTGGAGGACGGTTAACCCCCCTCTCCAAATTATTTTTTAAAGATATAATAGCAATATGTTTGAGTAGGGGGATGATACTTATTATACAAAATTTAATTAAACATTTTTTTTTATTACTAGCATTTCCTTTAAATATTAAATAATTAGTAAACAATACCTGTAACCTGTAAATAATTAGTAAACAATATCTGTACCTCAACCCTGTAAAAACAAAAGTAATGATGCTTGGGAAGAAGCCTACAAGGAATATGCGCGTCATCAGAGTCGAAGACAGAATCCTCGAGCAGGTAGAAAACTTCAAATACTTGGGCGCACAATTTAATGAAAATGGATGCATCGATTCAGAGGTGACTGAGCGAATCGCTGCTGCGAGCAGAATGTTTGAGGCAGTTAAGAGAGGTTTTCTGAACAGGCGCGAGGTGGAAAAGAAAAGAAAAGTAGCTGTTTTCAGATCGACATTTCTTCCCATTTTAACGTACTCTTCAGAATCATGGACGCTGACAAAGAAACATCGATCAAGGATACAAGCGTCAGAAATGCGATTCCTCCGAAAGATTGAGGGGAAAACAAGAAGAGAGAGAGTACGCAACACCACCATCCGGTCGAACCTCAATATTAAGCCGACCAATGATGTGATTGAGGAGAATCGACTGAGATGGCTAGGACATCTTCTGCGGATGGAACCAAACAGAATAGCTAGCGAAACCTATAGATCTAAAGTAGATGGCAAGAGAGGAAGAGGACGACCTAGAAGGAACTGAGAATATAAAGTAAAGAGCGATTTCCAGAGAAGAGGTCTTCAATGGAACGATAGAAGGCGTCTTGTTGAAGACCGGCAGAGCTGGAGAAGGCTCTATAAACTTCCTCCTCACATTGCTTAATGCGGTTCAAGAGGATAAATTATGATGATGATGATAGTAAACAATAACAGAACCAGTTGGAAACAAGAAATTGTGTGAAATAAAAATATTGGTGTAGAAAACAAATAAACATTACAAAGAACACTTTTTTTTTTTTTTAATGCTAAAGTCAAGGCAATTAAAGTAATTGGAAATCATTATTATTCATTTCCACAAAAAAGAAAGATTACCTCTTTTGAATCCTCCATCTTTAGTGGAAGCAAGATCTTGACTGATGTAATATTGACTCAATATAATTGACTGTGTGAGGTACACCTTCAGTATATTGCCTTCAATATCAATTATATTGAGTCAATATTATATCAGTTAAGATCTTGCTTCCACTAAAGATGGTGGATTCAAAAGAGGTAATCTTTGTTTTTTGTGGAAATGAGTAATAATGGATTTCCTATTAATTAAGTTGCCTTAGCTTTAGCAATAAAAAAAAGTGAGTTTGTTGTAATGTTTATTTTGTTCCTAAACATTAAAACGTTTCTTGATTAAAATGGGTCCTTTCCTGATTCCTAATTATTTAATATTTAAAAAAATGTTTTGTAATATAAAAAAAAAACTATTGTTGTAAATTAAGTATAAAAATCAAGTTTTGAACAAAAACGTAACTTTGAAACTTCTTTTGTGTGTGTGTCCTCTCCTTCCTCACCTTTTTACAGATTTTTTTCCGGGCCAGGAAGTGTGGGCGGGGACTTAAACTTAAGCACGAGATGCAAACTCGTGACAATTATTTATCATTTTGTCTCACATATCAGGTTGTTGGGCAACGGCGGTGCTGTACACACTGTCACTGTTTCAATAATATTGAAGGAGCTCCGATAAAAAAAAAATTCGATATCCACTAGTTTGATTTAAGTCAATATAATGGATGCCAATATAGGCCTTACACAGTCAATATATTGAGGAAACTCAATATATTGAAAAGGAGATAATATTGACGGTGCAAAGGGCCCTTAAAGGTTTTTGAAAATATTTGAAGTATTGCGTAGAATATTTGGATTGGAGAAGAATGAGATAACCGGAGAGTTCAGATGGTAACACAACGCCGAATGGCGTGAATTGTATTAGGTTACTATAATTGAGGTGATTACATCACGGCGAATTAAATGGGCTTGTGTAATTGTTGGACTTAGTAAGGAAAGAATTTCTAAAAGGTTAATAATTGCTATCCCGACTGGCAAACGTTCGAGAGGTAGATCGAAGCGAAGTTGGGAAGATTGCGTTAAGGCCGATCTGAAGGGATTGGGTTTGGACGGCGACCGGTGGATGGAGGTGTGTAGACAACGAACCTTCGGGCTCGCTAAACCTTTATTATTCAATGAAGAGTCGTAAGTGAAAATTGTATGATGCGTTCACTAGATTTTTCATTTAACA